GCCACAAAAACACTGATGGTTTCCCCCCCTCTTTGCTGCTGGTGGTAAAATTCATTTTGGCTTACCATTGGTACTGCTGTTGGGGCATAGTGGTCCTTTAGAATATTCTGCAGTGTGGACCAGATCATTGATTCAATGTCTGCCGGTGATGCGAGGATCTGAGCCATCTTGTAAATTTTTGTGCCACAATAAGTGAGGAAAAGGGCTCTTTTGTCTGGAAGGTCTTGGTAGTTGTTGGCTTCCAGGAACATCCAGAATCATCCCATATAAGTGTGCCATTCCTCCGTCTGTGGATCATAGGGAGCTGGTGCAGGGGAGATTTGGCTGGTCATCTTTAGCTTTTTTATTTTTTTATTTTATTTTGAATTTGTATACCGCCCTTCTCCCTGAGGACTCAGGGCGGTGAACAGCCAAGTAAAAACATCAAATACAAATATTAAAATACAGTTAAAATATACATATATAAATTTGGCCCCATTAATTAAAAACAATAAACAAAACACTTAAAAACACTTAAAAAAAATTAGGCCAGCCCGGCTTGCTGGAAAAGGAAGGTTTTAAGGGCACGACGGAAGGCACCGAGGTCTTGGATTCTCCTTATCTCTGGAGGCAATTGATTCCAGAGGGTAGGTGCCCCCACAGAGAAGGCCCTCCCCCTGGGGGTCACCAGCCTGCACTGTTTGGCTGATGGCACCCCGAGGAGGCCCTCTCTGTGGGAGCGCACGGGTTGATGGGAGATCGTCGGTGGCAGCAAGCGGTCTCGAAGATAGCTAGGCCCTATGCCATGGAGCGCTTTAAAGGTGATAACCAACACCTTGAAGCGCACCCGGAAGACCACTGGGAGCCAGTGCAGCTCGCGCAGGAGCAGTGTTACATGGGAGCGCCAGGCTGCTCCCGTCACTACCCGCGCTGCTGCATTCTGGACCAGTTGGAGCCTCCGGGTGCTCCTCAAGGGGAGCCCCATGTAGAGAGCGTTGCAGTAGTCAAGGCGAGAGGTGACGAGGGCATGAGTGACTGTGCACAGGGAATCCCGATCAAGAAAGGGCCGCAACTGGGCAAAGTCGTTCCTTTCGATAAAATGGCCGCGGATGCCACGAGGTGAAGGTCAATGTCCTTTGTCCCCTTTCTAGTCCTCTTCAAGACCCCACCTTTGCCATCAGTGTTAGATAGGGGCACGAATAAAAGAGGCAGGATGCTGTAGTCCGTTTCAACACTTTATTTCCAGCCGCGATCAGAAGTAAAAGATCAGCAGGCTGCCGGAGCTCTCTTTTTAAAGAGCTCCGGCAGTCTCCCTGGCCACTGACAGCGGTTTATTTCTTCCCACCGCTAGATTAGCCAATCAGTGGTGGGCATGCAAATGGGTGCTCCGTACATCCGTACCAGGGGTGTATTCTACTTACCTTTACTACTGGTTCACAACAGGGCCATGCACGTGCTTCTGTGCAGAAGCGTTCTGATGACGTCGGGGTCAGTGGGTGGAGCCTCCCGCTGGTTTTACTACCGGTTCTATAGAACCGGTGTGAACCAGGGGCAACCTACCACTGGTCTGTACGGAACACTGAACTACAGTGGCCTCCATAATTCTCAAATGGAAAAACCAGGACTTTTCCAAGAGTTTGTGCCCAGTCAAACTGAGCAATGGAGGGAGAAGGGCCTTAGTAAGAGAGGTGACCAAGAACCCGATGATCACTCTGACTGAGCTTCAGAGATCCTGTGTGGATATGGGACAAAGTTCCGGAAGTACAACCATTACTGCAGCCGTCCACTGATCTGGGCTTTATAGCAGAGTGGCTAGACGGAAGCCTCTCCTCCATGCAAAACACATGAAAGCCCATTTGGAGTTTGCAAAAAGGCACCTGAAGGATTCTCTGACTGTGAGGAACAAGATTTTCTGGTCTGATAAAACCAAGATGGAACTGTTTGGCCTCAATTCTAAATGTAATGTCTGGAGAAAACCAAGCACCGCTCATCACTGCTCAAAATCATCCCAAAAGTGAAGCATGATGGTGGCAGCAACATGCTGTGGGGGTGTTTTTTAACAGCAGGGAGACTGGTCAGGGTTGAGGGAAAGCTGAATAGAGCAAAGTACAGGGATATCCTCAATGAAAACCTGCTCCACAGCGCTCAGGACCTCAGACTGGGTCGAAGGTTCATTTCCAACATGACAACGATCCTAAGAACACAGGCAAGACAACACAGGAATGGTTTACGGACAACCCTGTGAATGTCCTAGAGTGGCCCAGCTGAAGCCCTGACTTGAACTCTATTGGCCATCTCTGGAGGGACCTGAAAATAGCTGTCCACCGATGGTCGCCATCCAACCTGACTGAGCTTGAGAGGATTTGCAAGGAAGAATGGCAGAAAATCCCCCAATCCAGGTGTGCAAAGCTTGTCACGTCATACCCAAAAAGACCCAAGGCTGTAATTGCTGCCAAAGGTGCTTCAACAAAGTACTGGGCGAAGGGTCTGGATGCTTATGCCAATGTGATATTTCAGGGTTTTTTTTTCTTTTTAATAAATTTACATACATTTCTAAAATTCTGTTTTTACTTTGTCATTGTGGGGTACTGAGTGTAGAGGAAAAAAATGAATTTCATCAACTGTAGAATCAGGGTGCCGCATAACAAAATTGACAAAAGTAAAGGGGGTCAGAATACTTTCTCAATGCACTGTATATAACCTGACTTGTAAATGAGGCATCCAATTGATTGCTCTCTTTTCACACAAGACTGAGCTCATTAGAGTGTTTTGATTAATTAAGCTATATTCAGAACCAGATGCATCTCACACTCACCTATTCATGCAATAGATGATTTTCCTAGGACAGACACTCCCAATCATTGACAACAGAGCAAGCTGAAATTCAGTAGGTACAGCCTATTTTCCTTCCAGGTTCTTTCCTTCAAACTCTAATCCAGTTCTTTACTGAGAATTTAGTACTAGTAAACCACACATAGCATCCTTCCACTGCCCCCTTGAGGGAGTTGCAAGTCAAGACAGCCCAGAGCAGGAAATTATTAATAATAGAATAACAGAGTTGGAAGGTTATAGGTCATCTAATCCTACTCCTTGCTGAAGCAGAAGACCTTATCCTTTCTGACAGATGGCTATCCAGTCTCTTCTTGAAAGCTTCCAATGATGAAGCTCCACAACTTCCAAAGGCAATTTCTGTTCCATTGGTTGATTGTTCTCACTGTCAGAAAATTTCTCTTTATTTCTAGGTTGAATCTCTCCTTGTTCAGTTTCCATCCATTATTCCTTCATGATTTCATGTAGGTTGCCATTTTATGGGACTTTGGAGGGTGTCCTGGGCGGGACAGTTTTTTGAAGTCTACCTCTAAATTCATAGAAAATGCTACTACTTTGGAGAATGATTTCCAACATCACAGATCCTTGGGCTGGTGTAATTTCTTTTTCTTTCATCAGCTTCCAATTTTTTTGAATGCACCAAACTATAGTGAGAAAACCAGATCTTGTTTGCTATACTCAGAATATCTTCAGTATTTATTTTTTATTTTAAATTTATATGCTACTTATCTTCTGTATAAGATGACTCTGGGCAGCTCGCACTCTATAAAACAAATTAAAATATAATTAAAATATATTAAAATGATGCCAATTTATATTTTAAAAACTATACAAAAACCAAAACTAAAAGGGCGATGGCACAGGGATGGGGTCTTCTTTTAATTAATTTTAAGTATTAATTACTGGATAGCATCAATCACGTAATCATACATCAAAATTACAATATATATTGCAGAGTAATCCAGTTTGAAATGGGAGGTTTCAATTAAAATTACTAAAAGTGAAGCCTCCAAAAACGTGAGCAAAACTCTTCATGACTTTTTTTTTTTAATTTGATTTCTATGCCACCCTTCTCCGAAGACTCAGGGCGGCTTACAATGTGCTCAGCAATAGCCTTCATCCTTTTGTATATTTATACAAAGTCAGCTTATTGCCCCCACAAACTGGGTCCTCATTTCACCTACCTTAGAAAGGATGGAAGGCTGAGTCAACCTTGAGCCTTGGCGAGATTCGAACCCTGCAGTAATTGCAGGCAGCTGGTCTTAATAACCAGCTTAATAACAGGGTGCCTTAAACCCCTGTACTACCAAGGCTCTTGGTAAACTTGATGGTTTGGTAAACTTGATGGTTTACCTGTCTTTTCTATTTTTAAAAAAACTTCCTAGGCTTCTCCACAGCTTTGAGTTTTCTAAAACTGTCTATAAAGCTCAGGCCACAGGAGCACAGAGGAAAGGCCTGCAGACAGCCCTTAGTGTCAAATTAAGGGGCAAGGGGGCTTTTGCAGACTAGGTTGCTCAGTGGGTAAAACACTGAGCTTGTCTATCGAATTGCAGTTCGAATCCCTAGTACAGGTCTGTGTGAGCAGGGGGTTGGGCTAGATGACCTCCAAGATCCCTTCCAACTCTGTTATTGTTACTGTTACTGTTACAGTCTGCTGGTGAAGGTAATGGAGTTTCACAAACATGAATTCCTCTCTGGTAACCTGGTTAATCTTCGGCCTGTCCTGTGTCTTCTCAACCACCTTTCCAACAAGAATTCTGGCTTGTGTTTCACTTCTTCAGAGGATAAAGTTGCCAAATGATTCCTGTGCATTGATCAGAGCCAGACATGTGCAGCTACAGAGGCTCCGCCAGAGAAGCGGCTACGAGGACGGGGACTCCTTATGTTGAATTCTCGCCCTGCCCCTTCAAAACGCCGCAAGGCCGCGAGAAGCCGCTAATCCAACTTCAGCAAGGAAAGGGTTACGCCGGCAGCAGAGCAAGGCAGCGTCGGGGATCCCCGCTCTTTCCGCTTCCTGCTCAGGCCTCTGAGAAGACGGGCTGCTGCGATCTCGGGGTGAGAATCGGGTGGGGAGACACTTCTGCAGTGATAATCTCGATTAGTCGAGGAGGGGGCGGAACAGATGATATGCTTTGCAAGTCCTTGCATAATTGCATTATTTCGATTAATTCTGCGCTTCTAGCAAAAGGGCGAGGGTGGGGGGAATTCTCCTGGCTGGAACGTGCGAAGCAGCGCGGCTGAATTGTATCCAGTCTCGTTGCTATCCTGGTCACCCGCAGTGGCCAAACCACTGTAATTTTATATCTCCAGGTAGTAGCTTATATACAGATTTAACAAATTTAATAGATGTCTTTAAGACACGTGGACTTCATCTCCCACAATTCCTCATGCTGGCTGGGGAATTCTGGGAGATGAAGTCCACATGCCTCAAAGTCGCCAAGTTTCAGAAATACCTTAAAAAAAAAAAAACAAGTGGGGAGCTTTATTTGCCCATTGTGATTGCAGTAATTGATCTGGTCTGCCCTCAGTTTGTCAGTTCTCACTTTGGAAGCCATGAAAGTGGATGCCTGTTGTATTATCCCTTTCAATTTCTGTATTACTATTATTCTTCTCATCTTTCCTATTACCTATCTTCTTTTCTACTTATAACTTTGTTGCATATAGATATAGATATAGATATAGATATAGAGATATAGATATAGATGATATAGATATAGATATATATATAGAGAGAGAGAGAGAGAGAGAGAGTGTTTATATTGTTTTATTTAGTTTCCCAATATGATTTATGTTGATTGCTTATTCAGTAGCCTATGACTATCACTATTATATCTTATGATTTATGGTGAATGTATTTTTAGGATGACTATGATCATGATTTATCATTTATAGCTTTTATGTACACTGAGAGCTTATGCACCGAAGACAAATTCCCTGTGTGTCCAATCACACTTGGCCAATAAAGAATTCCACCCCACCCTTTCAAAAGCAAATTCCATTAAAGATCCTCCTTCAACTTGGGGTCCCTTTATGGTATTGAGACTACTGATGCTTAGCCAGCAAGGTGACTGAGGGATACAGAGTTATGGGCCCATTACCCACAAACGAAGCTGGCTTGCTTTACTTTAGGAACCTTTGTGCAAAACCAAACACCCCCCCCCTTACCTACTTCTAGGTTGCAGTTTTTTCATTCCTGTGTCCTTACCTTTCTATTTATCTTATTTTATTCTAATTCTTCCTTGCCATAAATTTCCCCTTTTTAGCATTTTGGATAGGTAATTGTGGGGGAAAATATCTTGCCAAAATCATTGTTTTGCTGGACTTCTAAGGGAAAAGGTTATACTGGGAAGGTGAAAAGGGATTCTGTTTAAATGAAGCAGCTCAGGAATGTGGCTGCTCCCTGTGAGACTCAGAGCTATGTTGAATTAGACAAGGTTTTTTCCCCCCATACTCTGGTCTAATAACAGTCATCCAGATACTAAAACAGGTAATCCTTGTCTGGTAACTGGAACCAATCACATTTATCACCTTCGCAGGTCTGTAAAGCAAAGGAAACGTGGTGTAAGATTGTAAGCAGAATCAGTTTCACTTAATTGCTTCACTTACCAACTGAGTTGCCAATCTCAATTGTGATCACTAAATGAGGACTACCTGTACCAAGCTTCTTCCTCCTCTTGGCTAGCCAATAGATGCTTTGGAATTGAATAAGTAGCTACTATATTTTGTATTACTTTTTAAAAATGTTAAAATCTCAAAATGTTGTAACTGGCTTGTGGTGGAATTGCTGCAGCTTTTAATCATTTGGCTTGCCCTTTTCTGCATTTTTTTCCTGCTCTTAAGTATATTATAGGTATACCTAAGATGTGCTCTTAGGTATATTGAATCTCATTTTAGGATGCCCCAGTGGCACAGTTGTATGTTACAATATACTTGTGTCTGATTAGAAGTATCCAGGCTTGCCGTATTCATAATTAATGCACGGTTGACTGATTACTAGGATAAGAACTGAGCTAGAAATATTTACATAATTGCTGAAATTGTTTTTTGGATTTTTCTTCCTCCCCAGAGCCATCTTCTGCCTGCCCCCTTTCTTTTCAATTGCTGCCCATGATGAAGAAAAACCTACGGAAAAACCAGGACGAACGTTACCGCCTGAAGTTTCAGCGTCTTTGTCGCGTGGCCAAGGTGCTGGTTTACGAGAATGCAGCCTTGTGCGATGAGATTGCCCGGCTGGAGGCCAAATACCTGCAGGTACGTGAGGAGCGCCGTTTCCTGCTTACTCGCCTGTTGCAGGCACAAGCCTTGGCTGAGGATGAATCTCCTATGCCGGCTGCGGCAGCCAGCCTGCAACCTTCCCCAGATGAACCACCTGCTCGCAAAGCACGCCGGGAACGGAAAGGCAAAGAGAATGGCCGAGCATCCAAACGCAGGGCACCCTTGGAGCTGGGCATCCGCCGGCTGGTCCCCCCGCTTCCTTTGGATCCTGCCGGACGGCCAATTTTTCCTATCACTTTAGGCCCACTGACCGTCTACAGTCTGGGTGAGATCATCTCTGACCGTCCTGGTTTCCATACAGAGAATGCCATCTACCCTGTGGGGTATTGCAGTACCAGAGTTTTTGCCAGCACCCGCAGGCCAACTCACCGCTGTTTGTACACCTGCCAAATCAAGGACGGTGGCACCGGGCCACACTTTGAAATTGCCCCTGAAGACGAACTGGGGGTTGTAATAACAGGATCCACCCCGGATGCCTGCCATGGTCAGCTGTTGGAAGCAGTGGGGGCTGGCCAGCTCGAGCCAGTAGGGGCTGAATTCTTTGGGCTGTCACACCCCGCAATCCAACACCTCATCCAGAGCTGCCCGGGAGCACATAAGTGTGCTGGGTACCGCTGGTGCCGCTTTGAAGTCTGTCGCCCAAATGATGGACCCCCTCCTGAGGGGCTGTCTCCAAGGAATCCAGGCACTGATTTTGAGGCATTCCAGAGTCAAGGTTTGGCCGGGCCTCTGAATCTAGATTTCCCTGCGGCTTCTCCTTCTTCACCCAGTGGAAACGGCTATACTGAACTTTTTCTACCTTGTGCTACTTCGGCTGGGTCCCCCCTCCCTCCGAGTCCAGAAACTGACCCTGATTGAGAACAGCCAGAAGGCAGCTGCTTTCCAGGTGCTCTATCCTTTCTTTCTAGCTCCTCTGTGTGGAGAATAGTATTGCCTAATGTCACTAGAATGGGCTTGATTGAAATTTTCAGAGTTGTTTTTCTTTACCTTTCGGTTTATAGTGGCTCCAAGCACCCACTTTATTTCTTAAGCTTTCAACAGGGACAGCATGAATAGAAGTAATTTAAACACTACTAAATTGGGGGAGATCGGGGCTTTTAAAAGGGGCTATGGAATTTTTCAACTCATGAGGTTCACAAAGCTTTGGAGCCGTAAACCCTCCACCCAAAAAAAATAAAAAAAAAATATGAGATTGCTTCATTTTGCAAAATCATTGATATTGTGGCTTTATTTTGGAGGCAGCAACTCTCATTTCCAGTTCACTTATCCTGGAGCAGCATTTGCTCTGTAGAGCAGCTACAGAAGATCTTGACTTTGTCATTAGCTCATCCAAAGTGGGAACCAGTCTGGAGAACAGTTCAGCTTCTTGTACAGAAATTCATGTGCTGAAGCGTTTTTAAACCACACTCCCATTCTGCCTGAATAAACAAGCTGTTGGCTTGTCCAGGTGTACCAGGAGCAAGGACTGTTACACGTTCATAAGTTCCCTTCCGAATTTGCTACTTTCTATAGCAGGGATGGGCAACTATGGCCCCTTTATGACCTATGGCAAGTTCAGGAATTCTGGGAGTTGAAGTCCACAAGTCATAAAGGAGCCATAGTTGCCTACCTCCCTGCTCTACAAGTAATCCTCACTTAAAAACCCTAACCGGGACCGGAATTTCAATTGCTAAGTGATGTGGCTGTTAGGCAAAACATCACATGACCACACCACTTAGCAATGGAATTGTTCATAGTCCTAGTTGCAGGTCATTAAGTGAGGACTGTACACTTTTCCTGCCTTGCTGTACTCGCCTCCACTTCAACTCCTCCCTGCCATCTATCTCACCCCAATCACTGCCTTTCTAGACACCCTGTACTCCACTGCTTGTCCCTGCTGCCCCAGCTGACTGCTGTCTTCCTCCCACTGCCAAAGACAGCTGCTTCGCATGGCAGCTGCTGAGAGACCACAGGGAGAAGAGAAGCAGAGGAAAGCCGAAAGGGCAGAGATGGGAGATGGAGGAAACTAAAGTGCACCCTGAGATCATAAATGCAAGTCGGCTGCCAAATAATTTTGATCATGTGAACGCAGGGATGCTGGAGTGGCCATAACTTCAAGAACTTGGCATAAATATTCATTTAACACCATTGGAACTTTGAACTATCACTGAATGAATGGTTGTTAAGTGAGGACTACTGGTAATATTTGTTTGTGACTCTGCAGGAAGTTACAGTTCAGTCTGAGAATCCTATTTTAAGCCAATACATCCAGTGATATAAATTATAACATCTGAAGTCAGGGAAAGTATACAACAGTTCATGTTCCAATAGTAGAAACTGAACCTTCATTTTGATCCCAAACAGCCAAAGAATTACTCAGGAACCATGTGAGATGAGATGAGATGAGATGAGATGAGATGAGATGGAATGCATGTAGCCTGTAGTTTACTAACCCCTGGATTAGAGTCGGGCATGCCGGGGTTTAAAAAAAACCCCCAACCCTCTGGCTATTAAGTGAACATCTATTCTCTTTGTTGAGTTTTCTTGCATCTGGGCTGGCAATTGGTGTCAAAATATTTCCATTATAGCCTGATTGAAAAGGTAATATTGTTAGATCATGTCTTGTGTTCAGTTTGGACATCAATTAACCTGTAGAAATTATAGTGGGTATATTTATTCTTTCACCCAGAATCTTGAAGTGAGTGTATCAAAGAAAAACAGTTTTTGTAAATTGTGTGTGTGATGCTCATTAGGCAAAGATACAATCAACCTCATGCTAATATTGTGTTAAGGTACCTTCTTCTTGTAACTGAGTATTGTAATCCCCCTTCCTGTGCCGTTTGTAATGTATGAATGCTAATAGATTAGCAATTAAATTACAAGTGTTCCTATAATTTTTCCATTGTATATTAGGAAAAAAAGGTAGAACATTTCAAAGTAAACCAGAAGCACATCTATTGAGGAACACCGGTGGTTATAGAGCTTCCAAAATCATACACAAAATCAAGCACATGACTGATATGTATTATCATGATTTTTTTCCTCCTGTTATTGATTTTTCTTAGTATATTAAAGAAAATTATCCAGAAGCCTTGACTTTGCAACCTGTTTTGTCTTTGAGCCTAAAATCTGCCTATCAAGAAAATTTGATGGTAGGAAAAGGAAAGAATATGAATACAAAAATAATGTTGCTCATCTGATAATAAATTCTCCTTTTAAGAAAAGGATTTCTTTTCCCAATTTGTAACACATAGGCTCATAATCTTATCTGTGCAAATCAATTGTGACAAGTTTACAGGTATGTTTATCAGCGTCCATATATACATAGTCCTTGTCTTATGACCAGTTGCTTAGCAACCATTTGAAGTTACAGTGGACACTCCCCATCACCTCCAATGGCACTTACAACATGGTTCTGAAATTCTGACATCTGCCCCCCCCAAAAAAAACATCCTGTGATCACACATTGGATGCTCAGCAACCACAGCCATTTGCAGTATCCCATTGTTATATGCTTGTGTTTTACAACATTTTTTGTTAAAAACTATTTACTTTTGGCTTTCAGCAAAAATGGCCCATAGCAAACAATGGGTTCATTTTACAACCGCAGCATTCACCTGAATGCCAAAAAAAAGGTAAAATGGAGTCAGTCTCATAGATGAACTGTTTTAGATCATCACGACCTACTGTAATGGCAAGCTCCTATTATGGTCATAAGCTGAGGAGTAACTATACATATCTGAGACATGCCAGCCGCATAACTACAATATGTCCTATTTTTCTCAAATTTGATAGAACCATACCAAATGGCCTTTTTAAAATATATATGGATGCACAATTATCAACGTAAATAGACATTGTTTGCACACCAGTTTTCTCTTACAAGTTCTGTATTAGTATTTCTGAACAATTTGATCTAAGGGGAAGAACAAAGTGATACTGATCCTAGCAACACAGATGTGAATTGCTGCTGAATGATTTTCCAGGACAAATGCTTTAGTATGATTCATAATGGCTATTTGGATGCATTTAATGTCCATCACAGAGAGATCTCAAAGGAGCCAAGTATGTATCCAAATAGGGTCCATCACACCACAGCATTCCCCTCCAGGTGTGTGTGTGTGTGTAAGATTTTCACGAGCTTTGCTTGAAGAAGGCAGAACTATCTCCCAACAACTCAGGAAAAATGGACCAAGAAGGTATCCAGTTATACTAAGATTACTGATCTTTCGGTTAATGTATCACTGTTGGCTTGGGAATTAACTGTTTGGATATTATTGTTTGGGTATATTGAGGTGCTAATGAGACAGCAACCCTGTCCTCCAATGGAAGCCAGGAAACAATACCAGATATTTCTGCCAGAAATTGTCCAAGTTATCTTCTTGCTCCAGCACTTTCCTAGCATCCTCATTTGGTACATGCCATGGGGCTGTCTTCCAACAAGGAACTTGAAAAGGAGAGCAAAGATGCACACAGGCATGTCCGAAACATAGAAACCTCATTTACCGTTAATAGCCTTGATTTGGATCAGGGTGGGTGGGTGGGAATAAAACCAGAATTTAGCTGGTAAGGCTTCAGTAGCTCCTGGAGGTATGTCGGTAAAATTAAGCAATGTTGTTGTATACCCGCACAACGTCTACGTGATCCTCAAGGGCCTCTAACAACCTCACAGCCCCTTCCATCTCTGCGTCTGATAGCTGAGCGTGGACAACTGGGATGAATTCAAGGCCAGCAGACAAAGAACAAAGACCCAACGACTCCAGTTTTTCACGTACTTGGTGCAAGGTGGACACAGCAGAAATAAACTAAGTGGTGGAGAAGACAAAAGAAGGAAAGAAGATAACTGTTATAGCCCAGGGATCTGCAACCTTAAACACTCAAAAGAGCCATTTGAACCCATTTCCCACGGAAAACACCAGGAGCCACAAAACCTGGGTGGGTATGGCCAACTCGATGTCACTCACTCCCACCTAGTCACATGACCACTCCCTAGCCACACCCACTCAGGTTTTGTGGCTCCCAGTATTTTCTTCTCTCTCTCTCTCTCTCCTCTCATCTCTCCTTCTCATCTCTCTCTTTCTCCCTCATCTTCCTTTTCTCTCAGTCACTCCTCGCCTGAAAAAGTAAGGGTGACGGCGGTGGTGGACACTTGCTCCATATTCCAAAGCGGGAAAGAAGCACCCCTGTACTTGCCTCTTCTTCCAGCCCTTGTTGGTGCTGTGTGCACCTCAGTAGCTTGGGGAGACATGCAACTTTCTCTCTGCCCTGTCATAATGGGCTCCAGGGGGAGGAGGGGATGCCGCCTCCCCCACTGTGAAGCACGCTAAATTTAAGTCTGCTGTGCAAGGCGATGGAGGCGGCGAGAGCAGCAGCGTCAGCCACAGCCAGGCCAGACCAGTGTCTCGGGGTGGAGAGCAAGTTGCACGTCTCCCCGAGCAACCAAGGACTCCCAAGATCCCTCTCACAGTTACTACTACTGAGCCAGATACCACATATACTGTAACAGTATATAAAGTGTCTTGTTAGACTTAGTGGGAGTGAGTTCTGGCAGAGTTTGGAACGCACTTGATGAAGATCAACTATTGTATTTCCCCAAAAATAAGACCCAGTCTTATTTTTTCCCCTCCAAACGAGGCATTAGGTCTTATTTTGGGGAAATGTCTTCCACTGTCTCACCTCACGGCGGCGGCACCAACAGCCTTGCCCAGCAGGAGCCTGTGTGGCCACTGCCGGCCCACTTCTTCTGTGGCCGCTTGCCACTACTAGCACACGGCACCCCTGGCCTCCGTTTCGCCATCAGAGGCCTTCAGAAAAGGCCTCTGCAGCTGAGAAACGAGCTTCAGGTTGATGTGTGTGGCACCCCTGGACCTCCGCTTCACAGTCAGAGACACTGTCAGAGCTTGTTTATCAGCTGCAGAGGCCTTTCGTGAAAATGTGTGCTACTTACTTTGCTAAATTTAAACCCACCCTTTCAACTTACCCTGAGCACCACCTTCTCATCCTCCTCTTCCTCTTCCTCTACATCTTCAGCTCCGGCTTCAATTGCCAAGTCAAATGCCCGATCCAAGCTGACAGGACTGCCAGATTTGTCTTCCTTGCTGACAGTCACAATCCCCTTTTTTTCAAAATGACTGTGAATCCCTTCAGCAATACTTCCCCTGCAAGGAATCAAGTCTTCAGCCTAAGACTTAACTAGTTGTTTGCTAGAACGTCTACAGCCTCTGCTGTGGAAGGACTACTTACAGGAAAGCCCACTTCTCCAAAGGAACAAAGCACCCATAGCAAATCCCTGTTAAACTTGCATGCCCTCCCCATTACCTCTTGCAAACTAGCCAGCCAACACTCCTGAGGTTGCACTAACCCGTTTTTGTTTAAAAGATGTCGGATTTCATTGGAAGTCCTCTTTAAGTTGTCTGTCAGTATCTCAACATATACGGATGAGCCACCCGGACCTCGGACACCGCAGAGGTGATAGATGGATTTCGTTTTGTCCTGCCAAAGTTAACAATGGTAACCATCAGCAAATCACATAATCTTCCCCATCACTTGTTTTCAAGTATCAAGCATATTGTCCTCAGCTGCCCCTTTAAAGCAATTTAACAAAAGCGGGATCCAAATGCATTTTTTATTTCTTTAAAAGATTTGTATGTCCACCTATCTTAAACACAATTCTGGGAGACTCACGACAATGAAATTTGTATGTAACTCAATCATAGTCCACAAAACCATAACAAAAATACAATGCTTAACATGGAATGTATAAGTTGAATTTAACAACAGAAATAAAGATGACAATGATGAGTTCAACAGTAAAATAAAATGATTATGTTGAAGTTAACAGCTAAGAAATAAAAATGATTATGTTGTAAAGTAATGAAGATGATTAAAATGGGAGTAATAGTTAAAATATTTTTAAAATGTTTATAGTAATTGTAACGATTTATATTGTTAAAAGATATCCATCTAAGCAAAAAGGAAAAGAAAAATGGAATGACATTTGGTTAGGATCTAAGATTTAAGTAACTGGTTTTTGGGATAATGGCATAATTGACAGAATTTAGAGAAATAACCTTGTAAAATATTAAGTTGTGTTAATTGGAAGTTAAGAATTGTTAGTGATTTGTACTAATTTGTGACCGGATCAATGCTTCGTTTTGGAAAAGATGTGTTTTATGTTTGTGTTTTAAAAATTAAAAAAAAAACTTTTTTCAAAAAAAAAATACAATGTTTAAGTCATCTCCTTGGGATGCCCTACAACCAACCTAAATATCCTCCTTCTATCCTAACACCTGGGTAACAAGCCAGCTCTTGGTGGGATATCAAGGGGATAAAAGGGAGGGGATCTGCCAAATCACCAAAGGAAGAGTGTTTCATAAGGTAGGATAACCACGGAAAAGGTATCCTTTTGAAGCGCTGCTAGATGGCGAGGGAAGGGGCCAGGAACATGGCTGTCCTATCTGATTATGGTAGGATAGACAGCTATTCTCAGGAGGAAGTGGTTCTGCAAATATCTGGGTCTTATTCCATGTAGAGTTTTAAAGGTGATAACCAACACTTTGAATTGTACCTGGAAGGAAGCTGGGAGCCAGTGCAGCTCAAACAACAAGTGACGTAATATAGTCAAACCTAAGGAACATCTAATATAGCACATGCTGCTGTTGTCTAGACCACTTATAGCTGCTACCTGGTCTTCAGGTGTTCTTCAATGCATCCCTTAAAAATGTATTCCTTAAAGATATTTCTAGGTTGCTTTTCTGCTCTACAAACTCCACAAAGGAATGGACAATTTAAGACCAAACAATAATAAAAATCACAAAGCAGAGACCAAAACCTGGTTGGTCCTAGTAACCGTTTTGCCCCCAAATATTGATAGTCCACAACTTACAACAGTTCATTTAGCAATGTTCAAAGTTACAATGGCATTGAAAAAGGTGACTTATGACCACTTTTCATAGCTACGACCTTTGCAGCATCCCTATCCCTATGATCATGTTGTCAAAGTTCAGATGCTTGGTAACTGGGTCATCTTTATGACAGTTGCAAAGTCCCAAGGATATATGATCCTCTTTTGTGACCTTCCGACAAGCAA